CTGTTTTTCAGCACACAGCAGACTTACATAACTCCTTGTTTTCTGTAGCGAGCTCTCAGAGTTCTGTGACGTGCTGCAAGACCCTTTGAGAATCCCCAAACCCAACACGCTCCGACTGATCCAGATGGACCTTCCTCTGGTCCCTGGAGACAAGATCCACTGCTTGGACATCCTGCTGGCTCTGACCGCTCAGGTGAGTGTGGAATGTACCGGTGTTATAACTGACCAGCTTCATAAATCTGCCCCATCACCAAATCTTCAACCAATTCCGTCCATGATGAATTTATCCACAACTGTCAAGCGAAGAAAGATGAAAGCTTAAAGGAGAACAACGACCGGTGTAATGTTATCACTACATGTTGGACACACCGTGTAAATGAACGCAGATCAACAGCGAGTCAAACTCGGTTTTCACGAGCCAGGAAACGAGCGTCTTGCTCCTTTAATACAGTCTTCTAGACAGTTTACAATTCTTCACAACTGTGGCATGAAAAGCTCGAGTGAAACTGGAAAACAAACATAAATAAAATGTACATTAGCTTTGTAATATAAAACAGAAATGCATCAGAAAAATAGCACCAGGACTTTAACAAGTCATTACATTTTTGCGATATTTTCATATGCTAATTAGCCCGTTAATACACGTGAACAGAGGTAGTACTATGTTAATACATAGTGCTCCTGAGTTAGCAAGATCATGGGCTCGGTCTAATTCCTGATAATAACATGTGCAAAAACGATCTCTACAACAGACTTTACAGAACTTGTTCAAGTCACCAAACACATCTTAAACTTGCAGCCGTTGCTTTTGTAGGTGTAGATAAAATTTAACACACAGGAGGAGCAGTTTGGATCAACAAACAGGTTTTTCTGCAACACGTTTTTCATGTGGCTCAGGGGTCGGCAACTCAGAACGTTCAAAGAGCCATATTGGCCCAAAAACACAAAAACCAAACCTGCCTGGAGCCGCACAAAATGAAAAGTCTTATATAAGTGTAATATGAAGACAACACAGACTGTCAGTATATTAACTGTATAAACCGACTATAAAAATGACAGTACAAATACAAAATGAGCATCATGATACACAAACCCTCTGTGACCCTCTCACACTCGCTGCTCCGTCTGTAGCCACTGAAATCAGGTGGTTCGTGTTTATTCCTTTGTCATTTAGGCCCCGTTTACACGTACACGAGTATTTTTTAAAACGGAAACATTTCCCTTCGTTTGTTCACATCGTTTACACACAAACGGAGAATTCGCCTCTGAAAACAAATCTTTCTAAAAACTCTGGTTAGAGTGGAGATTTTGGAAACGTTTGCGTGTAAACAGATAAACTGAGTTTTAGGAGCTGACGCGCTGAAAGTGCGACCGACGTTTACCTGTTGCTATGACGACGATGATGGAAGTATTCAGAGCAGCAGTCGCATTTCTTCTGATCGTGCAGAGGAGCACTCAGAAAACAAACCCGGAGCAGAAGCTCTGAGCTCAGCAGCAGCACCAAACACACTGGAGGAGTCAGTGCAGCTCCTCAAGACGGGGCTGAGGGTCCAGTGTTGGTCAGATGGTCCGGAGGCTTCGTCCTCCATGTCCTGGTTCCAGACGGGGACGAGTAAGACCAGCACAAAGAACTGGGTCCGAGTGCTTCAGTGCCGTCGTCTGTGCGCTGGTTCCGTGTGGGAAAAGTGAGAATGTTCTGTGGACCACAGGTCCGGGTGCTCTGGTCTGGTTCTGAGGTGGAGCAGCGTCCGGACAGAAGCGTGAATCCCGTTTGGTTCGTTATATGTTGTTCTGAGCGTCCGTCTGCGCACGTGTTTTTTTGTTGTTGTTTTTTCGGGGAAAGTTCTTCTCAGGTGGAGGTGGACACCACCCCTGCTTCAGCTTCAGCTCATCTGTTTGTTCTGCTGAAACACTTTTCATGTGTTTCATTTGCACACAGCTGAAGGATCAGATCCATGAGCAGATGAACGAGGGTTTTACCCCGAAACAAACCAGATTAAAACAACAACCACAAAAATCATTCCTTTTCCATTTTCACTCATTTTTGAAAAAGCTCCAGGGAGCCACTAGGGGAGTGATAAAGAGCCACATGTGGCTCTGGAGCCGCGGGTTGCTGACCCCTGATCAAGCTGAATTCTGCCTCTGTTTCCCATAATGCATTGTGACCACTTCCTGGGGCCTTCAAAATAAGATGCAACTAAACCAAACCTAGAGTGCACAGACTCTTTTTAACAAATGGGAAGTTTTTAGCATGAAATTATAACAGATGAAATAGAACATATTTATTACTAAATAACAGCAAGAAGGTTCTGGGTTCGATCCCCAGGTCGCCCGGGCTTTTCTGTGTGGAGTTTTCATGTTTCTCCTCGTGTCTGGATGAGTTTCCTCCGGGTGCTTCAGTTTCCCCCATCAACCCAAAACATGCTCCAGGTCCAAGAACAGATGATATTAAAGGTCGGTTAAAAACAATCAATCAGTGAACCTGCCCAAGGACGACAGGTGGAAATGAGCACTGATGCTACAACCTGATGTACAAACATCTCTCCTGTCAAGGTTAATGTAAAAATTGTGCGCTGTCCCTGTCTCAAATAAATAAATAAATACAATAATTAATTAAATATTAAATATTAAATAAAAAGTAATAAGTAATTCACTAATAAGTAACTTGTGCACTCAGACTGATTCTAGAATTAAAATTAAAAATCTATTTCATGATGTAGATATTAGCATAGATAGATTTGTGCAGTTCGATGATGCAGATACAGATTTCATAATCTAGTATTTAACTGCACAAATCTCTGTCTATGCTAATATCTATATCATGAAATAGAATGAACTGAAATGAATTAACTGTAGAATCAGTCTGAGTTAACAAGTTACTTCTGTTTTATTCATGACCATAACGTTAGTTTAGTTCAGTGTGTCACTAATGTGGCTCGTTGTTTCCTTTAAGCTTTCGTCTTTCTTCCCTTGATCGTTGTGGATAAATTGTTCATGAAAAATGTTTATTCTTTGTGGACCTTGTTGGTTGAAGATTTGGTGATGGGGCAGATTTATGAAGCTGCTGGAGAATGTGCCAGACATGTCCATAGATATTTAGCCACAGAAAAGTGACGTTTACCTTACATTGCGGCACTTCTGGCCGTTGTGAAAAGGTCTGTTGCTCAGGAATCCTTTTATTTTGACCCACCTGAGAGTCCAGAACCCTCCATGTACCCTCGCTCACAACACAATATAACAGGATCCTGGACACATGATTTGCTTGAGTGGTGTCAGAAGAAGTCCTGAAGGATCATATTTAGTCTATTCACACGTCCTGATTTGCATTGGAAAAACAAGGTGGAGAGAAGGAGACCATTTTACCCTTTTAGGAAACTAGGTCGCCAGGTCCGAGGTTCTGCTCCTCTTGCTGCTCCCACTGCTGCACTAACAGTTCCATGAGACAAAGGTACTGACCCTAAACCAGAGAGATTGTTTTGTTGTGTCTGGTGCAGGTGCTGGGAGACTCGGGAGAAATGGATGCTCTGAAAGCCAGTATGGAGGAGAAGTTCATGGCCAACAACCCTTCAAAGGTCAGGCTCATAGTCTCAGGGGGTTAGGGTTAGGGGGCTCTGCAGGTGGATTCAGTGTTTTTAGTTGCATAAGGTTTAGTCCTTTTTGAACTGAAACTGGGTTGTACGTATTTTGCAGGTGCCTTATGAGCCCATCAGCTCCACACTGAAGAGACGACAGGAGGAGTTGGCCGCGATAGTGATCCAACGCTGCTACAGAAGACACCTGCTCCGGAGAACAGTCCGACTGGCCTCGCAGAAGTACCGGGCCCTAAAACGGGGAGCAGACCCGGGTCCAAACCAGAGTCCAGACCAGAACCAGAGCAAGAGCAAGAGCAGGCTCAAAGAACGCTTGGACAAACTCTATGGACCAGACACCGGAGATAAACCCGTGGAACTACACAAAGAGGTCGAACTCCAAACGATTCCGCCCCACCTCGTGCCTAAAGACCAGAGCTGTAGCTTAGACATGGAGGAGGAGTTAAAGGGGGAGGTACTAAAGGAGGAAGAGCTGAAGGAGTCTGTGGTCTGACGCTAAACTGAAGCAGGCTGTGGATCATAAACACCTGAACGATGGTTTCACTTTGTGGTGTCACAGTGGGGCGGGGCCACATCAGAGCACAGAACTTGGGGGTCACTGGAGTTTTCATGGGAGACTTTGGACATATTATGAACCCGAATATCCTCAACTTTATTTCTAGAGCACTTTAAAAACACCACCGTTGACCAAAGTGCTGCACACATTAAACAGAACTCAACATAAACAGTGACAAAGGGTGAAGAGGTAAAACCGAGGAGAAAAAGTGTTTAGGAAGGACATAAAAACAGAAGTGAGTGGGACAAGCCTCAGAGCAAAAACACCATCTCCTCTGTGTTTCCTCCTGGACTTTCAGACGTAGAGGAAAGATCTGCGGCCATTTGAACCATGTTTGGAAGTGCGATTGTTTACAGTTGGAGGGGGCGGTTTTCACGAAGGCGTGTCCTTTTTATTGGCTGCAGACGCATCTTTTTCAATTATGGAATGTTTGTGGTTGCTGTAATGTCATGGTTGGCTGCTCTTGTGGCTGACCTACTGGCACACTGAGCAGTTTTTAAAAGATTTTTTTAAATTTTTATCTTAAATTTATATTTTGACTTTGCATGAACCTAGCTTTGCTAGTCAGCTAGCCCTGGAAATACAAACTTTTAACACCGAATACAGCAGAAGATGTCCAGTCCCATCACCGACCAAACCAACAGCGGAGAGAGAAAGAGAGGACAGGACTTCCTGTTGTGTCTCCAGAGTTTACCTGGCTCCCCCTGGAGGCTGCAGTGATGCTGCAGGACTCAGAGGAGGGACACTTTTGTCCTGAAGGCTGTTACACTCCTCACAGTGACTCTGACTCCACCTGTGGAACTCCACCTCAGCTTTTTATTCTTATTGTATTTCACTGCTAAAGTGTGCTTAAACTGCCCCTCAGGTTAAATAAAGTGATTTTTATTGATTTTCATTCACAGTTGGGTAAATTGTGTTTAATCAGTTAAGGTCTTTCACATCTGTCTTTTGTCTTTCAAAAAAGTGCTCTTCAAATATTTGTTAAATGAAACAAAAGTTAAGATTCTTCACAGGACAAACTGGAGTCTGTAGTTTGTTTAGACTGGACACAGGTGTTGATAAAGATACAGGGACACAGTTAAATGTCCTTTAGTCCAACTCTTTTACACAGCCTATGTCCCAAACACACTTTGTTTTTAGGTGCTCGTCTTTAATACATTTGTGTATTTTTACTGTTTTCTGAATATGCCTGATGTGTGTTAAATCTAAAACCAGATCAAAGCCACAAATCCTCCACTTTTGTCTTCAGTACCAAAGTAACAACACTGTGATTCAAGCTTTATTCATTATGAAGCAGCTGTAATTCCAAATACAGGATTAATGTACAGTAATTAGCAGCATAAAAATAAAAGTCATGTATGTTTGAACGTATCTACAAATACTTTCACATTTAGCACACTGAAGGGTGGAAGTCTGTGGGCAGAATAAATAGTTTCTTCTTGGGGTTTTTGATTTGGTTATAAACAGACTGTGACAGAAGTGTTCTGAATGTGACGTGATCCACACGCTCGGCTCCAAGTGAATCTCAATGAGGCTCGCAGTTATAGCGGCTCATCTGAAGCCAAACTCCACTGTTGGAATTCCAACTGTGAGTATCATAGCAACCAGTGACCCAATCAGGAGCGAGGCTGTTGAAGGTAACGCCCCTTCTGCTTAGCAACGCTATTATTAAAACTCACATTTTAAGACTGAAACGATGAGTATGACAGCACCAGTTACAGAGAGAAGAGCCATGTTTTTTCAGTACAAACTGAATTAGAGAGTCGCTCATGCTCACTTCCTGTTTGGACTGCAGCAGCTAGAGTGTTAAATGTGTCCATTTAGTCTACGGGAGTTCTGATGAATACACTTGGTTCAGACACGTTCAGCCACAAACCCTCAAAAGAAACTTTGAAGCCCTGACCTTGTAAAGGAGATGTCATGTAAAGAAATCGAAACAGAAATAGGTCATCTTAAAGGTTGTGTGGAGGATTTTTTTTGTTTCAAATTGTCAGTGATAGATTATAGACGCAGTCGCCTTGTAATTATGATGACCAAAAAAAAGAGAATAAAAGTTCATCAACTCTGGACGTGGTGGGGCTAAACATTTGCCAATAGATAACGACACTGCCTCGTTATCTGTGAGCTGACAGGCTGTCAATCAAACTCCCTACGTTTCTAGTGTAACTGACTTGCCTGCGCCGCCGGTACGTGGTTTACGTACGACTGTCACACAGTCCACAGACGCAAGACGCACAGACGCTGTTTACTCCACCAACACAACAGTTCTTAGCGGCTTTTTTTGACCTATATCTTCCTCGCAGTTCACACAAAGTTTGTTGTGATGGCGACAAGAATCCAGGAGCAGTTCGCCGCAAAAGAAAGTCCGTTTTTGAGGTCGCTGAAAGAAGAAGACAAGGGGAAAAGCAGCGAAGCCAAACTAAGATGATTCTTGAAGATTCATTCCAGCGATGGCGCGACTGAAGCAGACGAAGGGTCTAAAGACTGAACGCACTGGTCCACAAATTACTCCTGGACAGGAAACTTCTGCTTATTATGAAAACGTACTTTATTTCCAAGAGCGAGACAAACGTTTTTCAGGACACGAAAGCGATATCCTATGTCTGAAAACGTCATTTTCAAGGCAAAGAAAGAGTCGCTTACTGCTGCGTGTTGTAGTTAGTTCATTCGCACGGAATCTCCACGCAACCTTCTCTGCTCCCCTTTCCTGCTCCTCTCCCCGCTGCCCGATCCGCTCTTCTCCTCGCTCCTCACTTCTCCGTCTTGTCTAACCAACACTGTAGTTAGTTGTTTACAAGTCATGTGCAGCGGCTGTAAACAAACCTGTTTGTGGCGTAAGGAGGAGGAGGGAGGAGGTGTTTCTACGTAGGAGCTGTGGGGGAGGGGAGGTGGTTTCACGCATGCGCAACATTTGAAAAAGAACAAACAGTCGCTGGATTTCTCCTTCCTTGGAAAATCCTCTATACAACCTTTAAATCAAACAAAGCACCTGGACCAGACGGATTTTTTCAGAATTTTATAAAGTTATGAAGGAATCTCTGGCCCCAATTCTTAAACCAACTTTAACTGGATACTCAGAGAAAACAAGACACCCCCTCCTGGAGGGGAGCTGTAATATCATTCATTCTAAAAGAGAGTAAAGACAAGCTTGAATGTGATAATTTTAGGCCAATAAGTGTGTTAAATCAGGATTACAACAGTTTGACTCACATACTAGTAAAGAGAATGGAAGCAGTTCTCCCACAGATCATTAACTTAGATCAGAAAGGATAATATACACCGTACATTACACGTGATAAATCATATTGTAAACAACAATATACCTGTGATCTTAGTGGGTTTAGATGCAGAAAAGTCATTGTGATTGTGTGTGTTGGTCTTTTCTTCATAGAGTTCTGGACAGATTTGGTTTTGATAATAAATTGATTAGAACAATACAAGCTTTATATCATAACCCAACGGAGAGAATAAAGGTAAATGGGGCAGTATCCAGTGTTGGGGAGTAACAGATTACATGTACTGGAGTTATGTAATCAGAGTACAAATTACTGTTACTGTTTCAGTGAGTGGTAATTGGATTACAGTTACTTTGTTGAAATAAATGGATTACACAGCAGTATTTTCCTGTTTTCACATTTTGGGCTAAATACCCCCCTTTTTCTTTTTTTTTCTTTTTTTTTTTTTTTTTCTCGGTAATTCCACTCATTGCCGGAAACTAAACCAAGTCTGAACCAGGACTAAACCAGGACTAAAACCAGCTCGCTCTAAACTAGATCTAAACCAGGTCTAAACCAGGACTAAACCAGGACTAAAACCAAGTCTGAACCAGGACTAAACCAGGACTAAAACCAGCTAAACTAAAAACCAGGTCTAAACAACAAACCAGGACTAAACCAGGAAACCAGGACTAAACCAGACTAAAACAGGTCTAAACAGGACTAAACCAGGACTAAATCCAAGTCTAAACCAGACAAAACAAAACAACACAAACAAAATTGAAATTTAGAAACATGTAAATACGTTGTTTAGAGCGAATATTGAATTTTCAAAACAATAAAAGGAACGCGGTGATGTAATGTTTGTGACATGTTACAGTTAATACTTCACAGAGTCACATACTCTTCTTTAACTCTTTCCCCCATGAAGACGACATTTGACGACCCCCTGTTTCCTTAACGACGTGTTTTGTCTCCTCCGCTGTTTCACTAAAGACGAGATTTGACGACCATTAGAAACGACTCAGTTTTTCACATTTAAACAGAGACTGTGATAGGTGGAGCCACTACAACCCACACTAGACTGACCAATAGGATTCAAGGATATGTTTTCGCCGATTTTTTCCGAAGTTAATCGAAGTAGTGACGATGGAGCTTCCGGAAAAAAACACAACACGAAACACGAGCAATGGAAAGATCGCGGCTCACAGTTTTAGAAATAATGAGGAGCGGACGTATTTTATGGATCAGTTTAGAGAAAGTGACTTTTATAGATTTTAAAGTGATGATGAAGTTGATTATAAAGTGGAAAACAGCGACAGCGACGGACTTACAGAGAGTGAAACTTATGAAAGTGAGAATGTGGCTGATGCGTCTGTGTGGAGTCCTGCGATGTCCAAACAAACTATCAGGGCTTTATACTCGATTATGAACCAAAATTCCCCTCAAATCTGGATGTTTTTCAGGCGAGTCCTTTGAAATGTTTCAGTCTTTTTTTCCAAGATGCGACGTATAACAGAATCACTACAGAAACAAACGAGAAAGTGACCAAGATGACAAATACTGAACACCCACTGACACTGAAGAGTTTTATTATTATATTATTATATTATAATAAGATGAAGTAGTTGAATAAATTAAATAAGATGAATAAATTAAGTAAGATGAATAAGTTAAATGGAAAAAAATGATTTAGGTCCACACAGGTGAACAACAGGTAAAAACAGGTGAACACTTGGCTCTACTGTATCTGGTGAAATGAAATCTGTTTAAATACTTTGACAAAGTATATTTTTTTTATGAATATAGTTCTCAGAACCTGCAGATATCAGATGCTGAATGTAGTTTTTTGTTTTTGATTTTGCACCTGACCAGGTAAACTCTCATTTTCAGTGAGCTGTTATAACACCTGTAAATGAGTTGAATCACATTTAAACATCCAGAAATGAAGAGTTCAGAGTCTAAAGTTTCCAGAGATACAAATATGTCTGTGTTACAATGAAGTTCCTGAGTGTAAAAATCATTTATAATCACTGGTGGAAGTTTGTTTTCTTTTATGCTGTGATGCTCTAAGGGTAGAACTAGTCATATATGTGTGGGTTGTTCCTAGTCGGCGTCCGGGGGGGAAAGAGTTAATACCCCACAGAGTCACATACCTCTTTAACTAAACCCAAAGAGAAGAACTTTCTGGTCCAAAACAGTCAGATCCAAAGTGAAGAACTGTCCCAGTTCAGCTGCTTTGGCATTGTTCAGTTTCTAAGTTTTTATTTGAGTCAAAGTCAAATTTCAGCAGTGACAGTGAAGCTCCATTTTGATCTTATTTCTCTTTATCTTTTGTTCTCATTGTCGTGTCCTCATCATGGGACAAGTCCAGTTTCTATTCAGTTCTGTCTCGTCTCTTTCACCAGAGTCACAGAGGAACCTTCATCCCACAGTGCAAACCCTGGAAACAGAGGCTCAGAGAAGGACGAGAAGTACGTCCAGAGGTGGGACAGTTCTCCATCAGAGGAGACGTCATAGAAGGACAGAGCTCCAGCCTCAGAGTCCAGGAACACGCCACTCTGCCGGACAACACGCCCCCTTCACCAGAGGACACGCCCCCTCTCTGTGAGCGACCGGAACGGTGGAGTCGCGTTGCG